TAGTGCATGTTATGTGCACATGTCCATGGATAATTTGCAGGAGTTGGTTTTCCCCGTTCCACTTCCCCTTTCCACCACGTGAATCCCAGGATCAAACTCAGGTTGTCGGGCTTGGTGGCAGGTACTGAACCACCTTACTGGCTGCTCTCTTTATATATTTTTATCTATATCTCTATTTTAAACTATTATTATTATTATTATTATTATTATTATTATTATTGTTAGTTTTTTTGAGGCAGGGTTTCTCTGTGTAGTCTTAGAGCCTGTCCTGGATCTCATTCTGTAGATCAGGCTGGCCTCGAACTCACAGAGATCTGCCTGACTCTGCCTCCCAAGTGCTGGGATTAAAGGGTGTGCGCCACCACTGCTCAGCCTGATACATATATTATTAAAAATATTTTATTCCTTAAATACCTCTCCCGCTCCTTCTCCCTTTCCTCTACCTGCACTTAGATCAAGTGTTCATTAAATCAGTATATCTTAATCATGCCCAGACCGCATTGGTATGCTCTGTCTCCACCTTCTGAGGCTAGAATTACAGGTGAGTCTTCGTGCCTACTTGGCAGTCACATGGGTACTGGGGCTCTGAACCCCAGTCTTCTCGCTCAGCAAATGCTTTAACTGCAGAGCTACTACACGGCCCCTAACCGCTCTTCTAATTGTACTCTTGATGACATTTTTTTTTTTGATGGAGAATTGTGGCAGGACTGGGGTACATTTCAGAATTAAAGGTATCAAATAAAAGACCCACTGGTAGGGAGCCCAGACAAGCCACAGGCAAGTCAATGAGAGTCCCCCACTCGTTTTTTTTTTTTTTCCTTTAAATAAATGTATTTACTTATTTTACATCCAGGCCACAGTTCCTTTCCCTCCTCTCCCCCTAGTCCCTCCCTATCCTCCTCTGTTCCCACCCCAATCCACTCCTCCCTTTCTGTTTAGGAAAGGGCAGGTCTCCCATGAGTATCAACAAAACATGGCACATCAAGTTGCAGGGAGACTAAGCACCTCCCCATATCTCAACTCAGTTCTTAAACCCTTTTTTTTTCCCCCAAGACAGGGCTTCTTCATGTAGTTTTGGTGCCTGTCCTGGATCTTGCTCTGTAGACCAGGTTGGCCTTGAACTCACAGAGATCGGCCTGGCTCTGCCTCTTGAGTGCCGGGATTCAAGTCGTGCGCCTGCCGCCGCCGCCGCCGCCGCCGCCGCCGCCGCCGCCGCCGCCACCGCCCGGCCAGTTCTTACACTCTTGTTGCTCAATGAACAATAATGATGGCTAACATCTCTTGCATTCCTATTATGGTCAGGCTCCAGGAACATTTATTCTTACTTCAGGAAACTTTACTGTGTCTTGAATGTGAACTGTCCTCTGGAGGCTCATGTGTTGGAACTCTTGGGTTCGAAGCTGGTTGGTGGTGTTTTGTATGGCTATGAAACCTTTAGCAGGTGGTGGACCCTTGCTAGAGGAAGTGGGTCACTAGGGATGGCCTTAAAGCCTGGCCCTGCTTCCTACCTGCTGTCTCCCAGCTGCTCATGCTTATATCTGCATGCCTCTCCTGGTGTGATGGACTGTATTCCTTCTTAAAGTGTGAGCTGAAATAAACCCCTCTTGCCTTAAGTGGCTCACAAAAACAAGGAAAAGGATCGGGGTCTATTTCTCAACTGTGAGAAATAGGAACCGTGAATGAAGGTTCCTGGGAAGAAGCACTGACTACCAAGGCAACCAGAACTTCACTGATGTGGAGAGGTTAGAATGTTGCTAAGTTCCCAGCCATTTGAAAAGCTATCTTTAGCTTCTTTAATAATCACTTACTGCCCACCTCGGCAGTATGTGACCTAACATCCTTGTGAGCGTTAGATAAATCCTTTGGAATGTAGGAAGAGACTCTTCCAGCGTCTACCAATCCAAAAACTAAGAATGCCCACAGACAGCGTCCGAAGCCAGGAATAGGGATTTCCCCACTTTGCCACGACCCACCTACCTGATTACAACGTATTTGGAAAAGGAGTCAACACATGACTTTGTTCCATCAGCACGAAAACTTCATGAAACTGCAGCCATGTTGGAACATGGAATTTGGAGTAAACTAAATCTGTGTTCCTGGGCCGTGGTCACCATGTTTGGTCCAGAATAAACTCTCGCCTCCCCTTTGAGGTGAGAGCTGTGTTTCTTGCATTGACATCTTAACTATTGACACCTTAGAGACTACAACAGAGGAAGTTGTGTGAAGGTGTGACAAGCCACACTGCAGGGAAGAGCTGGGTCTGTGTTTCTAACCTCTTACCCCTATTCTTCTGAGGGTGGGAAACAGCTCAGCATCACATCCCCAGAGAAGCCTCTGCTCAGCCTGCCTCAAACAATGCTATACTGTTCCATTCAGAACACTCATCGCAAGCTACTTCTATTCACTTGCTGTATTTTCTTGGGGGTGGTATCTTTTGGTTAGAATCCAAAGTCCATCAAGGCACAGACCATTTCTGTCTCGTTCATCATCCTGTTCTCAGTGTTTCGCACAGATCTAGCAAACAATAACTGTTCTGTGTTTGTTGGTGAATAAATGATAATGCCTTCAGAATTCATTTTCTCCCAATCATTTTACAATACAATCAATACATGGAAATAGTCCACTTAAACATAACAATGTAGTTTGGACTCTGGCTGGTATTCAACCACAAGCTTATTTTTCTATGCATTCCCAGGAAATTTTATCATCATGGTAACAAATTTCTGGGAGTAGGAATATAAAACTCAAAGATGAAAGATAAATATATCCAGAAAATAATAAGTCAAGTTGAATTGACACACACCAAAAATACACCAGAGTGTATTGTTGGAAAAACATTTATTGCAATTCAGTGTCAAAAAATGTTTACAAAAATATGCCACTGTCTGGTACAAACAACTATAAAAAAGTCAGTTCATCATGCAAGAAAAGGTGTGCAAATAAGTTATATAGGACTCAGATTATTCAATATTAAACAATCATCTTTGATGTAATCTGTCTAACCTTATACATTTAGTTAAAACATTCCACCCACTCTAATAGTTTTCTTTAAAAAGTACACTTAAAGCTTCTAAGCTTAGACATGGACTATAATATACACTCTTTTTAGCCAGGGTGACTGGCATTTGGTAGTATAAAGATGGCACCAACGGCTCCCAAGTATGGAGCAAGGCTTGGAGCCATCTGTTAAAACAGCCTTGTGCATAGTTAACAAATGTATCTATACTCAAAGACAGAGTCATGTTCAGTAATGCTGAAGCATATGGAGCATCCAGAAACTTGGAGTTTGGATGTAGCCACCCATTTCCAGCCAAATGGGAGAGGGACTAAGTTCAGAGAGCTTCCTCAAGGAGCTTTGCCTGCTGAAGTCAAGGACACTTTGAAAAAGGCACCCCAGACAAAAATCATGACAATCACCATCCCTTGCCTCATGAGATAAATTCTGTTAATTGCAAACAAGGTTGAACAGAGCGAACTCCCACCAGACAGAACCTCACTGGGTCTTGTAGTGGGGCTCACCAGTAAGAGGAGCAGGAAGGAGGATAGATGCCTTAAGCGTACCTCTCCATTTCAGGGGAGAAGACATGCTTGGGTACCAGCAGGAGCTAGGTCAACATTTATCTATTCTTTTGTGCATGTGTGCGTGTGCGTGTGCGTGTGCGTGTGTGTGTGTGCATGCTAGTATGCCTGGGGATGTGTGCACATGCATATGCATTTGGAGGCCAGGGCAGACATTGGGGTATCTTCCTGGATCTCTGTCCACTTTTATTTTTGAGGCAGGGTCTCTCACTGAGCCTAGATATCACTTGGTCCTTAAGACTGGCTGGCCCGTGAACTCCCCATGCACTAACGATGGCTTTTACATGGTGCTGGAATCTGAATTCAGGTCTTCATGATTGCATAGCAGGTACTTTATTAACTAGCCATCTCCCCGGGACCCTGTGTCTGTTCTTAAAAGGGCATTTGAATTTGTCAAAACATGGTGTTTGCTTCCTGCTGTTTTTGAAACAAGGCCTTGCTAGTAGCCCAGGCTAGGATTCCAGTTCTCCTGCCTCTGCGAAGATTACAGGTGTGCACCATGTACCTGGCATGCTGGCTACTTTCTAGTAAGCAGGCTGTGCTCAGGAGAATGCTCTAGTCACAGCAGAGTGAAAGGGTGTGAAAATGAAAAGGGAGTCGGGCGGTGGTGGCGCACGCCTTTAATCCCAGCACTCGGGAGGCAGAGGCAGGCGGATCTCTGTGAGTTTGAGGCCAGCCTCGTCTAGAGAGCGAGATCCAGGAAAGGCACAAAGCTACACAGAGAAACCCTGTCTCAAAAAAAAAAAAAAAAAAAAAAAAAAAAAAAAAAAAGAAAAGAAAAAAGGGACCCCTTAACTTCTCCAGTAAAGAATCAGACTTAAAAGTTTTGGAAAACTTTGTGGCACATGCCCATCATGGGATGATCTCCCCTGCCTCCCACAGTGAGGATCATTGGAAGAGTCACACTGAGTGTCGTGAATCTACAGATGCCCACAAGGTGCTTGGGTGGGAGGTGGACTCCGAGCTCCGGCATCAGGAAGCTCCAGGTTTCTGTTCAGCTCTGTTGCTGACTTCCCAGGGAGTGGAGAGGAAGGCTCCCCACCCCGCCAGTTCTGGAAAGGCTTCTGCATCTTGAAAGGCAGAAATGTCAGAATGTATCCTCTCTAAAACCCTTCTTGGTCTAAAGTCTGGGATGGGAATTTTCTTCATCTAGAAAACCAAAGGTGGTTTTGTTGTTGGTTTTGCTGTTTTCTGTTTCAGCAAAGCAGAGAAGGAAAACACAGAATTTAAAGGAATTACTACCTTGTTTGTTGAAGCCATAGATGGCCCATGATATATCAAAGTAAGATCCCTGTGTCTGCCCAGAGGTTCAGGGTGTTTGAGTCTGTTTAAGCACTGACGGGTTTCAAGCCAGCATCCAGTCAGAAGAGATGGTTCACAGACTCAGATAGTTGGAAACAGATTAAAAACAACAACAGATGTCAGCATAGAAAATGATAGTTTAGTTAAAAAATGCACACATAAAATTACAGTCAAAAATTCACACATAAAACTTAGAGTGTTTGCATAGCAAGATGTTATTGCCCTGCAGCCAGGCAGAAAAACATAAACCCAGGTGCATGTTTTATAATAAACATTGTTTTGAATGCCGAGAACCATATACTGCTAAACGCCTCTTGCGATGATTTATCTCTCTGTGAATCATACCAATCGCTTAGACAAATCAAATCCCCAGCCTTTTCTCTTCCACGTAAAACAATAAAAACAAGGAGTCTATGTCCACAGCAAGCACCTCATGGGGAAGGGTTTGTGAGGCCACAAGGATGAGCCACCCACTAGCTGGCTTTCCCAGTCAAAAGTAGATCGGCTCTTTGGCTGAAAGCTTTTGCAGAGGAAGTATCTTGTCCAAACCACTTTCATCTGAAATCGATCATCACTAGCCAGAAAGCCTCTCCCAGCGGATGGGCTGCGGACCCCACCTTGGAACTGCTGATCCTTTCTGCTACCCTTCCCTTCCATTCAACTGATGCACCTGTTCCCTCAACAGTGGGGAGTCAGGACATGGTCTAGTGTCACTGGGTTTATTTTTTCCTTTTACTGGCTCTTGCGATAAGAGGAGCATTCCTAAACTTTATATGGAATGGTTCTCCCTCTTCAGAGACTCAGCTGACTGCTCTCAAATGTTTTGAGTCACTATTACCCTGGGTTTGCTCAAATGGCTTGGACAGAACCTTTTCCTTCTCTTGCTGTCTGAATGACTTCAGAGTGGGCATATCTAGTCCTGCTTTACAACACGCGAAGGAGGGACGGGAAGGTACAGTAGAGAGAAAACACATATTTTTTTCTTTGTGTTGGAAAAATTCTTCTAGCAATTTCTAGAGCCACGCCCCTCTTGCTTTTGTAGCAGCAGTTCTGGGTCAGGGATTCTTAGTTTTTGTGTTGGAGGTCTGGGAGTCCCGGGTGGGTTTGCCAAGAGGAATTCTATAGACTATACATGTCCTAGGAGCAAAAAGTTTTGAACTCCGGTTACTTGTATGTGAGGCTCTGGCCGTGGCCTAATATGGACATCTTGCCTGCTCTACTCTCCCTGTCTCTCCTCCCCGCACAGACCATCAAAGATACATCATTTCTACTCCTCGCCCACTCCCTCTCCACCTGCCACATCCTTCCTAGTTTCTACTAACCCATGAAAGGGACCCATCCATGTTCCTTTTTTCTTTTTCATTCTTAAAAAAATCAATTCTTTGGTTGTGTCACATACCAATGACACCAAGGTTCCTGGAGAATCTGCAGGCACCTAGTCAACATTCCGAAAGGCTCTGACCTCACTGCTAGGGGCCAGGGCCATTTTACACAGGGGCAGGTTGGTGCCTGGGGCATGCATGATATAGGCCTTTGCACATTGCTGACACTCTCCACGAGACCGGCTCATCGGTTTTCTGCTGGCAGTCCAGAGCAGGCAAAGTTGCTGGGACTGTGAACTCACAAGTTCCCAACAACCTTCCATCTCTAAACCACACGGCAGAGCAGTGGCGACCACAGCCCCCGACCCTAGCAATATCACTCAGAATCGATGTGTCCAGTGCTTTTCACAGCACCGGCAGACCCAGCTCCACCCCACATCTTTACAGAAGGCAAGCCGGTGTAGAGAGTCTGACAATTATGGAAAAAGTGTCTGTCTGTCTGTCTGTCTGTCCCTTCCTTCCTTCCTACCTTTCTTTTTTTCTTTCTTTTCCTTCATAGTCCCAGCCCTACATTCTTAATGTAAAAATCATTCTGGGGAGAAGAGTTAAAAAAAAAAAAAAAAGAAACCAAATAGAACAAATAGAAAACCCTTACAGGTTTGAACTCTCTAAAGTTCAACTTTATACATCAACTCTTGTTCTTTTACATTTCCCTTTTTGCATTACGGGCCTCTAAATTCAACTTAATTTGCCCCTCAAGGATGAAGGAAGTATGGAGAACTTCCGGTGTTAAGGGCAGAGACTGCCAATCAGGAAGCCCTGCAGACTCCATCTGTCTCACAGTACGACTATCACCAAAGGAAGAGGCATTGACTGTCCCCTTGTTCCTGTGTATGCTCGGCCATCTTTCCTCTCCTCCAAGGGCCACCCCAAGCATCAATGCTTCAGGTTACACAATACCTTACTTAACATTTATATGGAACAAATTCCTATTTCTGCTTCTTTGCCAAGGACATGCATAGTGGCAGTTTTATTTGGAGATTAAAAAAAAAAAAAAGCAAATACAACTGCAAATGTATGTACATTGTAGAAAAGCATCAATCTATAAAAAGTAAAAAATAACATTTTCCCCACCCCAGGAATTAACTCCTGAAGTCCTGAGATTTGCTTTCTTCCACAGTGTTCATATCTCTGCTTTGCAAGACCCCCAGGGATCCTTTGTCTTTTAACTCTTTCTTTTAACTCAGTCCTGAAACAAGTTTAAGATGAACTCATCTCTCTATCTGGCTGGAACTCCAGGCTTCCTTTTAAATCATGCTTGTGAAAAGTCCCACTTCAGGATGACTCAAGTTTGATGGTGGACCTAAAGAACAGAAAGAGCCTCGGCTCATTACCCTGCCAAGGGGAAGCAGCAGCTATCAGAATGTTTAATTGGCTGGTGTGAAAAGTGTGTGTCTCTCAAGCCTCAGGTCTTGGGTGCCACTATGTTCACAGACATTCACTAATCCATGAAGATCCCCGAGGAAGTCCAGACAAGCCCAGAAGTTAATTAGAAGAGGCTAGAGTTCAATCAGAAGTGCCAAGCCTTCCCATCTACAGGTGCCTAATTCTAGCTCTCCATGACTTCTGCTGGAGCTGTTCTTAAGCTAGCCTTTCAGTTCCCTGCATGAGCTACAACATGAAAGGAAAACAACATGTAGATACTGGAAAGGAGAGGGCAAAGGAAGTCAGAACCAAGAAGAAGGTTTTTTTTTTTCTTCCTAATTCGTTCCCATCTTAGATCACTTTATAGATGAAAGAACTTACATGAAACACAGACATTGCCTGCTAGATAATGTATGCTGCCAGAGAGCACTCTATGCTTTTAGAGGTAGACCATTGTGTGGCATCTTCGTAGGATAAGGCCTTATGTATGCCCCGTGCAGGATTCAGATGGGTGGACTTCTTTGCCTGTTCAAAACCCCAGATCCAAACCCAAAGCCCCAGGACTTCTCAACTGTAGCCTTCTCTTCCTCCTTCCTTACGTCTTAACAACACGGTCACATTGTAAACAGGGTGTTCTATCTTGTGTTTTTTGAGTTTTGCATTTTTCTTCCTAGGGAACTAGGAAGTTTCCATGAACATCAAGAAGACTCCATTTTCATGGCAGACTTAAGAGTTCTTGCCTTTATAGTCTTGCTGGCGAATTGTTAGGGGGGAAAAAAGTCTTATTTACAGTATCTCTGCTTTTCCGTACCAGTTCTAATGTGAAGTTCACATTTGTAAGTTCCCATTGGCAACTGCGTCTCTTCTCAGTGACTTCGCTCAGAAGTGTCCAGCCAAGGCTTAAAATGTACACTATTTACAGACCAAGTCATCCGAACTCGCAGCCATCTCTCTGATCAGCAGGGCCTTGTGAGGTGCCGTCTCGGGCTGGGATTCAGAACTTGAACAGGTTGATGAAGTCTTGGGGGGAAAGCGAGACAGAGCAGCTCTCTGGGTTGTTGGCTGTGCAAGGATGGTCAGTGCCCTGGAATGGAGAGCACTGGGGTTAGAGCTGAGTTCTCAGTGGCAGCTAGCTCCCTGGCTCTGCAAGGCATTGCTCAGTCTCTTAGCTGCCCTCTGTGAAGAATGCCGCGGCAGGGGCTGGAGAGGTGCCTCGGCGTTAGGAGCATGCACGGCTCTTGCAGAGGACCGGTCTTGTCTCTGGGTCAAGCGGCTCACAACCACCCCTGACTTCAGCTCCAAGGTATCTGAGACCCTCTTCCAGCCTCTGCAGGCACTGCTCTCATAGGTGCATAACCACACAGAAACATGTAACGCATGTTTACAATAGATTAAAAAAAAATACCAATAAATCTTAGGAACAAAAGAATGTCACCGACATTTAAAGAAATGCTCAACATCCTTAATCATCAGAGAAATGCAAATCAAAACGACTCTGAGATACCACTTTACACCAGTCAGAATGGCTATGATCAAAAACACCAATGACAGCCAATGTTGGAGAGGATGTGGAGCAAAGGGAACACTCATCCACTGTTGGTGGGAATGTAAACTTGTACAAGCACTGTGGAAATCAGTATGGCGGTTTCTCAGAAAATTAGGAATCGAACTACCTCAAGACCCTGCCATCCCACTCTTGGGCATATACCCAAGGAATGCTGATTCATACTATAAACATATATGCTCAGCTATGTTCATAGCAGCACTATTTGTAATAGCCAGAATCTGGAAACAACCTAGATGCCCGTCAATGGAAGAATGGATGAAAAAAATGTGGTACATATACACAATGGAGTACTACTCAGCAGAGAAAAACAATGAAAGCATGAAATTTGCAGGCAAATGGATGGAACTAGAAAAAAT